AGTGGCAAGAGCCTCATGCCTTGCCTTACCTATTTTCCCAACTTCACCCGGAGTGACTTTTTTTTTTTCCTTTCCCTGGATGAAAGAAATCCTCAAAGGGAAGCGTTTTGCTGATGTGGAAGAGGTAAAACAAAAAACAGCCTAAGCACTAAAAGTCATCAAAATTGATGAGTTCAGAAACTGTTTTGACTCATCAACAAGGGTACCTGCATAATGAACATTTGTATATTTAATCCTGAATTGTACCTCACATTTTTAAAATAGAAAAATTAAAAGTAAAAAAAATAAACTGTTTTGAGCAGTGGGAAAAGCATCTCAATAGGTGTCTTGCATCAAACAGAAAGTACTTTGAAGGTGACTGAAGTTTGTTCTTTTGGTTTTTTTTTTTTGAGTTACAGTCTCACTCTGTCGCCCAGACTGGAGTGCAGTGGGATGCTCTCAGTCACCGCAGCCTCGACCTGCTGGGCTCCGGCGATTCTTCTGCCTCAGCCTTCCAAGTAGCTGGAACTATAGGCGTGCGCTACCATGCCCGGCTAATTTTTGATTTATTGTAGAGACGAGGTCTCGCCAAGTTGCCCAGGTGGGTCTCGAACCCGCAGGCTCAGGCAATCCACTCACCTCAGCCTCCCAAAGCACGGGATTACAGGTTGAGCCACCAAGCCCGGCTAGGGTGACTGAAGTTTAAACATGTAAGAATAAATACATAATGTTTTAATAAATAAATTCTATTTTTTGGGGTTCCCCAAATGCATCAGATGGGCCATAGTCCAGAAAAAAATTAGGCTTCTGAACGGTGTTTTCTGAGGGATGGGGTCTCCTGGTATAAATATTTTTCTCAGGGCTTTTCCTCCTTTCCACACCAAAAGTTCTTCTTGTAGGATCTTTAGGACCTCCCTACTAAAACGGAGTTGATCATTGTCTATTGGTGTAGATCAGTAAATGATGCTAAGGCAGATTATGGAAATTTACTGGGATAGTTAATAATAATGCATTTTGTTTGTTTGTTTAGAGACGAGTTCTTGCTCCGTTGCACAGGTTGAACTCGAACTCCTAAGCTCAAGTCATCCTCCCGCCTCAGCCTCCTGAGTAGCTGGGACTATAAGTATGTGCCCCTGCATTGTATATTTCAAAACAGCTGAAAGAGAGGATTTTGAATGCTCTCACTACAAAAATATGACAGATATTTGAGGTGGATATACTTATTAGCCTAATTTGATCATTCCACAATGCATATATGTATCAAAGTCTTTTGTAATTATCACAGAAGGCTCTAATGAAGTGTTTTGGTATCATTCAGAGTAAAAAATAAACTGAACAAATATAAACATTTAATACTTTTTTATCTTTCTTTTCTTTTTTTTCTTTTTTTGAGTCAGAGTCTCACTTTTTCACCCAGGCTAGAGTGCAGTGGCACGCTCACCGTCACTGCAGCCTCAACTTGCTGGGCTCAGGCCATCCTTCCGCCTCAGCTTTCCAAGTAGCTGGAACTACAGGGGTGGGCCACCACACCCAGCTAATTTTTTGATTTATTGTAGAGATAAGTTCTCACAATGTTGCCCAGGTTGGTTTTGAACCCGTGGGCTAAGGCAGTGCTTTCACCTCCACCTCTCAAAGTGCTGGGATTACAGGTGTTAGCCACTGTGCCTGGCTTAAGAGTCTTATATTTGTGAAACACTGGCTTATAATGACCTATGTACATGACTTGTCACTAAACAATAAGGGAAGATGGATTAAGCAATTTAACTAGTAATAGTTTCTACTCCTACTTCAAGGTTCAGCTAAACGTCACCACCTTAATGAATTTGTCTGTGATCCCAGAGTTAATTCCTTCAACAATCATTTATTGAGTGCCAAAGCCCTATAGATACAAAAGTAGATCTGATTCAATTCCTGCTCAGAGCTCAGAAATAATTACATGACAGTGCTTGATAAATGTATTCAGATAGATATTTATGACGGGCTGGTGGAGCCTAACTTTTTCTGGGGCAGTTGGAGAAGACTTTATAGAGGAGACGATGTTTCCGTTGCATTTTGGGAGATGACTAGATCACAAAATGAAGGATGAAAAGTGATCCCAGGTAGGGAGACACTGAATGGGAAGGTAAAAAGGATGGCAAGATATTCATTTTAGAAAGACAACTAAGGATAGAAATTGGAGGTGGAGAACAAGTTAGAAAACTGGCAACAATTCAAGCAAAAGATGACATAATTGCAGGCATGAGGAGGGTGGGGGAAGGATTTGAACAAAATCAAGACAACTTTAGCAGAACCTGATGTCTGATTGTATGGGGGAAAGAAAGAACGTGGAGGAGTTGCAGATGACTCCCAAAAACTTAGCAAATGAGTGGGTGGTAAGGCCATTATTGAAATAGGGAATACAGTACAGAAGGTAAAAGCAGGACTGAGAAAGGAGACTCAAGTTTGGTTTTTTGGGTTTTTTTGTTTTTGTTTTAGTTGGAGTCTCACTCTTTGTCGCCCAGGCTGGAGTGCAGTGGCATGCTCACAGCCACCACAGCCTCGACTTGCTGGACTCAGGCAATCCTTCCGCCTCAGCCTTCCAAGTAGCTGGACTACAGAAACATGCCGCCACACCCAGCTAATTTTTTGATTTATTGTAGCGATGAGGCCTCACCAAGTTGCCCAGGCTGGTCTCGAACCCTTGGGCTCACGCAATTCAGGCGCTCCTCTCATCTCTGCCTCTCAAAGTGCTGGGATTATAGGCTGAGCCATCACACCTGGCCTAAATTCGGTTCTAAGCAGCGTGAGTTGGCCTAGAAGCTTCGTAAGAAGCTTCAATGATTTCCCTTTCTAGGCCAGAAATCACCCCTTCCTTTGCCCTCCATTGCATATTGAATAACTTTTTCATACCAAATTATTTAGGTCTGCTGTTGTTACAAGTTTGTCTGTACTTTAAATCATGGAGAAAAGGTACTAGGTCTCATCCATCTTTGTGTTGCTGCTATGGCAGAGCCTTACACACAGAAAGTCCTTAGAGTTTGCATTATTAAAGAGACAGCTCTGGCCAGGCATGGTGATTTATGCCTGTAATCCCAGCACGTTGGGAGGTCAAGGTGGAAGGACCACTCAAGCCTAGGAGTTCGAGACCAGCCTAGGCAACATAGCGAGACCCTGTATCTACCAAAAAATAAATAAAAATAGCCAGGCATGGTGGTGTGCGCCTGTAGTCCCAGCTACTCCAGAGGCTGAGATGGGAGGAGCACCTGAACCCAGGATAGAGGCTGCCGTGAGGTGAGCTATGATAGGGCCACTGCACTCCAACCTGGGTGACAGAGTGAGAACTTGTGATGAAAAGAAGACAGAGAGAGAGAGAGAGAGAGAGAGAGAGAGAGAGAAGCTCCTTTAGATACTAGAAAGTGTCAGCAGTCAAAACAATGAATAAAACTTGTGATTAGTAGCTTACATAAAATATCTGAAGTATTAGACCCTTGAGCACCTACTTTTAATGTTAGTAGCCAACTCCGGATATAAATTAGCTCCTTTGTGCTTATCTACTGTTTTTTGTTTTTGTTTTTGTTTTTTGGTCAGTCTCACTCTGTTGCCCAGGCTGGAGTGCAGTGGCACACTCACAGTCACGACTTGCCAGGCTCAGGCAATCCTTTTGTCTTAGTCTTCCAAGTAGCTGGAACTTCAGGCGTGCGCTACCATGCCTGGCTAATTTTTTTTAATATTTACTGTAGAGACGAGGTCTCACCAAATTGTCCAGTCTGGTCTCGAACCCCGGAGCTCAGGCAATACTCTCGCCTCCGCCTCCCAAAGTGCTGGGATTACAGGTTTGAGTCACCGCGCCCGGCCTTATCTTACTTTTAAACAGCCCTATTGGGTAATCTCTGTATCCCTATTTCACAGATTAAGCAACAAAAGCCTGGAGTGACTGAAGAACTTTCCTGAGGTCACAAGGTTCACAAGCGGCTAAACCAGGATTTGTACAGGCTCGTTCCTTCACCATGCTGCCTGCCCAAGGTAAGCAGGTCTCACTGCCCCAATTCTCAGTAGGACCCAAAAGAGAACACTTCTTTGGCTCCTGAGAGAGTCGCACCCTCTGAATTAGCGGGCACAGAAGGCGGGACTGTCACCCCTACCACCTCGGCAACAGTCTAAAGCGCCCCTGTCTCGGGAAAGTGCCATGTCGGCACACCCGCTGCAGAGCAGAGCGGAGCTGCGAGGGGGCCGTGGGGTGCAGAGGGCGTTCCCCGTCCGGGGACCCCGCATTTTACAGTAGTCACTGCAGGGAGGCGCATGGGATGGCAGGCATCACCCACCCTTTGGCTCCAACGAAGTCGCGCGGTCCGGAAGCCCGGGTTGGGAGCGCGCGGCCCAGGCGGCAGCCCTCGGGGCTAGAACTAGCCAGACTTGAGCTCCCCGCTCCTGGGACGCTGCAACTCGTCCCGTACCTTCCGCTGCAGTCCCGTGCGGCGAGCCGGCCGGACCTGCGGCCCTATTCTGCGGACTGGACGCGCGCAGCTGCAGTGGGAATCAGCCCCTCGCGGCGGTCCGAGAGTTCAGACGCGGCTCCACTGCAGGCCGGCCGTTTACCTGACCCTCCCAGAGGCCTCTCCCGGGGTCCCGGCCCGACACCACGGGCAGGTGGGGGGATGGAACCTGAAGGCGAGGGAGAGTGACAGGACAAGAAAACGTCCCTGGACACCCGCAAGAGAGCCTCTGAAAGAAGCGGCGCGCGGGTTCAGGGCGGTCCCGCTTGCGGAGGTGGGTGGGGGTTGTGCCTTGTCGCGTGCCTTAGGAGGGGCGAAGGGCAAGGGGCGGGCTCCTCCTCTCGACTCTGAAGCGCTGATTGGCCGTGTGCTTAGCCGGCAAGGAGGAGGCAGCCCGGCACGTGCCAAAGGAGCGCTAAGAGCCATGGGCGGGCCCACCCGCGAAGGCCTAGAGCGCGGATTGGCTGCGCGCCATCGGAGGTGCCGGGAAGGGGCGTGTCCGCACGTGAGCTCTCCCGGGGCCAAGCGGGGGCGTGAGTAGAGGGAGAGCGCGTGCGCGAGCCTGGCCGCTTCCTCCTGCTGGGAGCAAAGGGCAGGCCGGCTGTTAGTGTCCTGACACCGGATCTCGCGGATTCGTGCCATGGCGGGAGCTGAATGGGAGTCGCTGGAGAAGTGCTTGGAAAAACATCTGCCGCCTGGAGATTTGCAGGAGGTGAAGCGCGTTCTCTATGGCAAGGAGCTCAGGTCTGTGGCCTGGAGACTGAATTGGGGAGCTTTGGGGCCACCAAGTGTTGTCTGGGGTAGCAGGGATCTGAATGGCTCTCAGGAGCCAGTGGTGAAGGCCTGAATTGGCGAGCAGAGACCACAATAGGTCTTCACGTGATAGCCCCGAGACCCTTGGGGCTTGCAGGATCTCAGGGTGACCTTTACAAATCACTTCCTCCCCACGTTTCCCAGAACTGAAACTAGAAGGGAAAGGCCAAGTTTTTACTTTCTCTGGGGCTGGCTGAATCTAGTTGGCGAGGGAACCTTTCCCACTAGCAAGCCATGGGAGTTAGTTACCATGCTTAGTGCAAATGTTTTTTTCACTCCCAGCAATTTGTGTGCATCACTGGGACGTTCCGAGGACTGTGTACTGCTGCTCACTGTGTATGTAAAGCTGGAAAGGACACTTCTCCTTCCACTCCTGTTTCTCTTCAGTGCATTCTTCCCTGCAGCAAGCAGAAGGATCCCTTTACTATGCAAATCATAACCGGTTGCTCCTCTGCTTAAAACTCTATAATGAATTTCCCGGTGTCTTAGAATGAAATCCAAACTCTGATTTCATGCAGCTCCTGACTAAATCTCCTTTCACTTCCTTGCTCATTTGTGGGCTCCTTGCCTCTCCCAATCCAGCCAGACCTTGTGGTGGTGACCTTGCAGCAGGAACTCGCTTATAATGGGAGGGTATTGTTTGGAGCAATGGTTCCCACCTGCTGTGGAGGTACTGCAGGGAATACTCCAGGGAGACCAGACCTCAGATCCAAGGGTAGGTGGTGAAGTTGGAATAATAAGCCTTTGGAGTTGAGGTGGTGCAGAACTTTGTCAAAAAGGACTCTTCGTACCCAAAGAGGGACTGAATGAGATTCAAGGCCCCTTCCAATATGCTCATGCTATACTTCTACTTTTTTTTTTTTTTTTTTTTGAGTTGGAGTCTCACTCTGTTGCCCAGACTGGAGTGCAATGGCCACTCCCGGCCACCGCAGCCTCGACCTGCTGGCTCCGGCGATCCTTCCACCTCAGCCTTCCAAGTAGCTAGAACTACAGGCACGCGCTACCACGCCCGGCTGATTTTTTATTTATTGTAGAGATGAGGTCTCGCCAAGTTGCCCAGGCTCAGGCAATCCACTCACCTCAGCCTCCCAAAGGCACGGGATTACAGGCTGAGCCACCGAGCCCGGCTATACTTCTACTTTTCATTGCACTTTTTATCAGGGCTTTCTTTGTGGCCACTCCAACACTCCTCTCCACTTTGAGTGACCAGTTTCCTCCCCAGAGCCAGGCTTGTCCTCTGGTGTCTCTGACTGGGTCATTGTCTCCAACCAGATTCTCCCAGCAGGTGTGGTCATAGTCCAGCTCCAGCCCCTCCTTCCTGCGGTGATCAGGAGGAATATGATCCCTCCCAATACACTTATACTTTCCATTGCACCTGTAAAGACTAGTCATTTGGAAAGTGTCTGGGTGTTGAGACTCCCCAAGAAGTCTTAAATAAAGTAAGGGGTGTCTCAGGTTTCTAGGGGTGGGAATTAGTTTCTCCTGGGAAAAAAGAGAGATCTCGTGAGTGACTTCTGCTTTGAGCTCGTGCAAGACTCAAAGCAGAAGAGTCTTAGGAAAAGAGAAATAAGTGTCCCACGTAGGTGACTGACTAGGCACTTTCTGGAGTAGGGCTAAAGTCAGGCCAAAGACTACCATAAAAGAGGAATTTTATCTGAGCATTTTGGTCACTCCAGAGTGGGGAGGGATGATAGTGGGAAAATGAAAGCTAACGTCTATTGACCAGTGACTGCCAGGCCTCATCATGGGGCTTGGCTCACAATAACTAAGTGGCACCCCTTTCCCTTTTTCCTACCCCCTTTACTTCTATTTCACTCAGCATTTAGCCCTTCTAGATTTTATCTCTAAGGTGTAAACCTTTGTACTTGTTCAGTCCTTGTAATTGGGTTGGGTTTGCTTGTGAATGGGACTTTGCACTGAATGTAGAAAATTATTAGCCGGACTCAGTGGCTCAGCCTGTAATCCCGCGCCTTTGAGAGGCTGAGGTGAGTGGATTGCTTGAGCCCGCGGGTTCGAGACCC